TCACTAACCTTCCATGTCCTCACCATGACATCTGCAACAATGCCCTGGGATGTGAAATATGCTTTCCGCTTCGTCACAATCCTTTCAACCAGTGCTGCGTCTGTGATGGTGTCATCATCCGAGTATATATAAAGGCTAGGAATAAGCAGGTGATCGTTCTCTATATGCTCCAAGTATTTGCGCTCATATCGCCAGCATTGTGCTAGTCCATAGACTTCAAGGCCGAAACGGATGGTGATATAGGTGGCAAGCCGGGCGAAGGGTGCCTGTGGAAGGGGCCGCCGAGCAACAGGAGTAAATGTTGTAAGCGCGGGAAGGTAAGAATACTACGGGTACACATAAGTACATGTGGGCAGTTTCGGATTTTTGACATTTGGACAATCACTACATCCTACAATTACTCATTCGAATGCCACGGATTCTATTCGACAGAGACATTCCATGTCCATGGATTCCTCTACCTACGATACACATTCAGGTTACTCACCCGCAAGGCTGCGCTGAGTGCCTTAGCACCAGTTTGAGCGTCTGCAGCCGCTGGACAGCTATCAAATATTGTTGCGGCGAGCTGAGAAAAGGAGTGCTCCTCATTGGGCGGTCTTCTATCACAGCAGAACCGTCGCGACCGTTGTCTATAGTGACCGTTCAGCAGCAGTAGCAATCTGCGATGAACAAAGCAACCTCCATTACTAAAGTAATGCACAAGTACTTTGGCTCGAGGAAAAAATAGAGGTATCAAAGACATGATATCCTCCGCTGTGCGCACCACTTCTGATTGCTTTCTACGGAGGACATTGCCGGCAGGTACAGTGTAGCGTAGCACTACTTTGCAAGCAAAGTGTTCGTGATATAGCGCTGCATATTTTCTGAGATGCTTATCTTGGCAAGTCAACCATCCAAAAAGCAGTACTACGAATTTTACTTTGTAACCATTTTCTTCTTCTGATGAGGCTGAGGCACCATTTTCATCTATAGCGGGACAGATATTCAAACCTTTCAGTTTGGTTACCCGGAAACGCCCTATACTCGGTCCGTCCTCAAATACTGCGTCTTCGTCCATAGCGAATCGATGGGTGAGACCAGGGGACGATGTCCCCGATCTGCATGTTAGGTATGGCAAAAAAGGGTAAGGGTAGAAACCAGTCACTTTGGCGTGTCATCCGCAGGTCAAGAGAATAGATGAGGTTGGGTCCCGATAGCAACGGCCCAAAATTCAGGTGCACACGTTTGTGATGGGTCCCAGAGGGTGAATGACTTAGGAGTGGACAAAATATACGAGCTCAATGGGTACGCTCAGCACCCTGCTTGAACCCTCAAGTCGTAGCGATAGAGAAGAGGTGGCTGTGCTTGAATGCGCAGCCCTGTGTGAGGATGATGCATTGCTGGGCATTCATTGGGTGCTTTGAACTCTCTCCATACGCGAAATTTGAAGAGGCAGAGTGAAATGCGTCCTACCGCATTTAATATGACTAGACAGATTGGCATGGTGGACATCAAAAATTTAAAGAACCGTTTCTTCCTTCATTAATGAGGGGCTGGTGCCGTTGAGATGCTGCCCGACATGAAGGCTCAATGCGTCTGATAATGCACCATCTAGAATTTTCAGAGAGCGATCGTGCTGTCTAGAAGAGAAATACATCCATCAATTTGTTTATCAAGCTGTTGCAAATGAACTTACCAGTTGCCGGTGAAGTCTCTTATGAACCTCACGTCAACGTCCTTCATGGGCAACGATGATTCAGATGTCACATTTATCAGAGCACAGACATTCCAAAGTCCCCCGAAACATTTCAACGAAATTTAATGAATATAATAGCGCATTTTGGCATGGAGAGACTACATACATAATTTCTACACAATCGAATACAAGTGGATAAGCAATCATATTCCATTTTGTTGTATTGCTGTCGTTCAACTTTAGCACGACATGGCCGATTTTAATCTTTATCATGAGCGCTGGACCGTAGATGCATTTGTCCTTCTACTATCTCAGCTTTTGGCTTACCAACCAAGCGAAATTTGCCATCCTTGCCCTCTTCAAGCCTCCTGATTTGCTCGTTGGTAGCCTCAGAATCTGAGAAATAGCTCAAAACACCACTTGAAGAAGGCAAATAACCCCACAAATTACCCTTATCCTTGCCACGATGCGAGGATGAAGGCGAAATCTCCACAGTGTCCTGTCCAGGACGAGTCGACACGGAATGGACCGTTGCGGTTTCAGTTGAGAGAGGCGCGTTAGCCGCAGCCACAATCCCTGCAGCGGCTGTCGCCCAGAATGCAGGAGGCACAGCAGCAATTGCTTCGCAATATTTTTTGTTTTCCCGCAGGAAGTCTACGCCCGAGAAAGGTACCTCACATACGGCTCCAAGGTCATTTGCAGGTGGACTGTGCGCAGCCCGATCCAGACATGCACAAAACTCAGAGCCATCTGTGGTCATTTCATCGACTAGTTTCGCTTCCAAGCTATCAGGTGCATCAGCTGCGATTCTTGCCAAGGAGCCAAGTAAGCCCAAGCATTCTGCATTCTCATATCCAGGGTCATTGACACAGTTCGCTATCTGAGCTATACGGGCCTCTGTCAATTCATCTGTGCTCCCTGCCAAATCCCCCCCGTCAGCACCCATACAATCTAAAATTTGTAAGCCAACTAGCTCAGCACGCACTACATCAGCGTCAGAGCAGCCGTTGAGTGCTTTAGACAGCGAAGACTGGATCTGGGGTTCAAATGCACAAGAAGCCTCCAAGGCCGTCAGAAAATTAAGTGAATCGTGTGCTGGGCAACTCGTGGATACGGCTTGATATGCGGCTGATTGACTCGCTCCTCGAACACATTGACAGGCCTGCGGATAGTCAGTCAGGGCTCGCATAGCGTACACACCCATGTCGCTCCAGCTTCCTCCTTGTAGCTTTGTGGTGGCCAATATAACGAGATACATGCAATCAGAATTGGTCATGTGCGGGTCATACAGGCAGCTAATACCGGCACGGATGGTAGCATCCTCCAGTTGTGCTCCCATATTAGGACTAGACGAGCCGAAGCCTTCAATCAATTGAGTAAAGTTGAAATTAAGACAGTCAATGAAGGGCAAGTAGGCTAACTGCAGGTTGAGTAGATCATTTACCGCGCATCCCTCCATCTGCGGAGGGAGGTGCCATGGCTTGATGCTGTTCACGTACGGCGCCAAACGTGCTGATGATCTTGTGATTTGGCCCAGGCTGACACCATCTGTACAAGTTGGAGAAAAGCTGCCTACTTGGTTATTAACTTCAGCAACGCAATTGAGCACCTCGGGGGGATTCTGATAAATGACTCCCACCACTTTAGCAGGCACAGATCCTGGTTGACTCGCAGCTTGTTGCAGTATTGACTCAAGAAGCTGGAAACATTCATTTTGGTACTGGTCGGAAGACTCAGAGCACCGGTCTAACCAGATACTTTGATCGGAAGATAGGCCACCCATGAACATAAAGACCTCGCCGAGGGACAGACTGAAGCAGTTCATCAGTCCTCGGCCAACCCATGTAAGCTGACGCATATCTGTAGAAGAACAACCGGGAAATGTTTGTGCGGACGTGGACGACGCGAGCAGCAGCGACATTGCGGCGGCAAAAGTGATATGGGCAACACGATGCAGCCCAACCATCGCCATGTGCGCCCTTAAATTCTTAAGACGTCTGAAATGTATAGAGCATATTAAAAAGTTTGATTTACTGAGATTTATTGGTTTGTAGTGCATGGACGGGGGGATCGAAAAAACAGAGAATTGACATGGTGCAGCGAATACTGCGAGCAGGGACGCGTCAACCTGGCCCAGAATAAAACTGAGAGAGCTTTACAAAACACTAAGCAAGCCAAGCATTGAATTCAGAACATCTACATAATATGATCAATGTAATGTGACGCTGTATTGGAGCAGTTGCTTTGGAGGTTTATACATTGCTCTTGCTCTCCAGGGACGGCGTCGCCCGAGCGTCCGAGCGCGTCCAAGCCCGCTGACGTCCAGCAAACAACCGCTGGCTTCAACTTGAAGAATTTTCCTGTTCTGCGTGTGAAGATCAAGACAGAATGCGCATGACTGGACCAAGAACTTGAAAAGGAAAATTTCTGTTTGAGAGACTCATGAATATTCGGCTTTCAGATGCCTTTCGTTTTCATTTTGTCTCAAACCTTCAACGAACTTCACAGTCACTTCCATCATGGATCGGGGTCCAATGCCGCCTCCGCAAAAGCGCCATTCCACATGCGGGCAAGGCAAAGGGTATTCACATGCGAAGTCACTCATGGCTCCATCAACATCCCACGTATTTGTCAAGCGACGGAACTTATTCCTGCAGACCTTCGACGAGCAGGGTGAACTTCAAGAAGAAGAGAGCACAAGTCTACGGCACAACGCTTTCGAGGTTAAAAACGACTACAGTCAACATTTTCTTCAGACTCGCGAACGACCCCAGAACTTCATTAGGGATGTAACGGTTGAGGATGGATTTGCTGAATATCCCAAGCTGGCAAAGTTACTTTCTGCAAAGCAGCACATTGTCGAGACCCGCAAAACGCCTGCGATGTATGTGAAGGCCGACCTCCGAACATTTGATCTGCGGAGCCTAGGCACCAAATTTGACATTATATATATTGATCCACCTTGGGAGGAATACACGCGTCGAGCCGCGCCCTTTGTACTGAATGGCAAGCCGTCTGTGTGCTCGGAGACATGCGATGCGTCTTTGCAGCTGGACGAGGTATGGGGGCACGAAGATTTGGAGTCCCTGCCTATTGACGAAATTGGTGAGTTGCCTAGTTTTGTGTTCCTGTGGTGCGGTTCAGGGGGGCGCATCACAGAAGGGTCAGCGCAAGGGGCCTTGCACGTTGAAGATGGTAGGCGTTTGCTTAAGAAGTGGGGGTATCGGCGATGCGAGGAGATTTGCTGGGTGAAGACGAACAAGCATTGTCAACACTCTCAGCCAGAATTATCCACCTCCGCAACAAGCTTATTTGTACGTACCAAAGAGCATTGCCTTATGGGTATCAAAGGCTCAGTACGTCGTAATCGAGATGGGCACATAATCCATTGCAACGTCCACACGGATCTTGTAGTAGGAGAACAACCCATCGACCCGCTTTCCACAGCAAAACCTGAAGAAATTTACACGATAATGGAGCAGTTTTGTTTAGGTCGGCGACGTCTGGAGCTGTTTGGATGCTCGCGTAACATTCGGCCAGGCTGGGTGACAGTTGGTAAGGATGTGCCGGGCACGACGTATGACGCGAGGACATATTCGAGATTGATGGAAGAGCCGGGCTTGAATCCAGATGGGACAATGTGTGCTGGTCACTTGGTAGGGTCTACCGTCCTCATTGAAGATCTTCGACCTAAAACACCTCCACGAGAGCAGCGCGAACGAGAAGCGGCCATGGGAATGCTTCGTAAAGCAGTCCGGGGAGGACGAATGGATTCACTATGCAGGTCCTCGCCCAGGCCCCGTAGCCGCACTGTCCCAAGTGTCAGCCCCCAATACGTGCAATCGCTCCATTTCAATAAACACCAAAAGCATCCTGAGTGGGAGCAGTATGCTCAACAGCAGGCGGTTCAGGGTCAATTTTGGCATATATACGAGAATGGCTTTCACAATGAGGGTCAATACCAAGGTTTTGGAATCTACGACGAAACGTCGATAAATCTAAGTTCCTTTGACCACTCCGAGCATCATCGAGAAGAGCAGCATGTCTCTTTTGTCTCGCCTTTCACGTATCCATCCGACCGAAATGGCTTTTTGCCGCCGTTTCCTGTGTCTCAACCTCCACCTCCTTTAGCCTCTATGAATACTTCTTTACACGAGCACGTTCTCTCATCGCCGACATACGGCTGGAGATCATCCCCCTTATCTTCACCCCATGGACAAAGCGGGCGGGGGCGAGGGCGAGAACGTTCAGTCTTCCAACGCAAACCATTTTAAAACACTCAATGTAAAAATTAGGTTGTGGAAAAAAGTGCAATACAGACTATGACGCAAATAGATTGTTTCTTCAACCTCACTATCGTAAATCAGCTAGCTATTGCGTACGCATCCCCTATGCACTTCTTTCTTTTCCGTAACCGCCCCTACCAGACATTTAACAGAATTTTTTTATCGCTGACTCCACAATATCTAGCGCTTGGTCGACCTGATCCGCATCAATGCACAAGGGTGGGGCAAGTCTAATTATGTTCCCGTGTGTTGGCTTCGCCAACATGCCGTACTCTTTCAGCATCAAGCACACGTCCCAAGCCGGACCACCATCACCTTTCCGATCCGCTATCACCATTGCATTCATGAGTCCTCTTCCCCGCACGGATTCGATCAACCCGTTGGCGGGGATGGCTTTCAATCCCGATCGAAATCGTTCTCCCATGATCATAGAATTCTCGACCAGCTTTTCATCCTGCAGGACGGCTAGAGCTGCCGCTGCGACTTTACACGCCAGTGGATTCCCACCAAATGTCGATCCATGCTCTCCCGGCTGGATGGTGAGCATTACTTCATTACTTGCCAGAACGGCAGAAACGGGCAGGACGCCCCCTGACAGCGCCTTTCCTAGAACCAATATATCGGGCTTGGTCGAGTCCCATTCAGAGGCAAGCAGCTTCCCCGTCCTTCCTAAGCCGGTTTGAACCTCGTCGGCAATGAGGAGGATGTTATGTTTTTCACAAATAGCTTTGATCTTTTTCAAATAGTTTTCTTGCGGAACAACAACCCCGGCTTCTCCCTGAATGGGCTCCACCATAAAAGCTGCGATCCGCCTTCCTTTCCTTTCACAAAGGGCCTCAAATGCGGCGGGATCGTCGTAGTCGATGAGGTCGAACCCCGGAATGAACGGCCCAAAGCCTTTTCGGGAGGAAGGATCTGTTGAGGAGGATATCGCCCCCAGCGTCCGACCCCAGAAATTGCCGCGGGCGAAAACCACCATCGCTTGGTCCCGGGGAATCTTCTTGACGTCATAGCCCCAGCGACGGGCGAGTTTCTGATCAATATGGGTGATAAACCACAGCTTATTATCACGATGTCAATGTATTAGAAAAAGTTGATACAGATTTGTGCGTAGAGCCTGACAGAGAAAAGCGAAAGCCCTTTCCCTTATCGAAGCTTACCACCGCAGTCTCGCCGCCCTCGACACCGGTATTCATGGGAAGTACCCGGTCGTAGCCGAAATAATTAGTAATGAACTGCTGGTATTCGCCCAAGGCATCGGTGTAAAACGCGCGCGATGCTAACGTTAGTTTGCTGGCTTGTTCAGTCAGCGCGGCAATGATCTTGGGATGGCAATGCCCTTGATTTACTGCCGAGTAAGCTGACAAGAAATCCAGGTATTTGTTGTTATCCACGTCCCAGACGTGCACGCCTTGGCCACGCGAGAGAACGACCGGCAGTGGATGGTAGTTGTGCGCTCCGTGCAGGTCCTGCGGTAACGCATGGTGGACGGAAATGAGAATGTGTGAGATCCCACATCAATACATACATTAGGTTTTACATTTAAGCATAAGCTAGACGTGGCAGCCTGGTACGAATTATGCGGCACACACATAAATCAAGGACAAAGAAGCTTGTAGGATTCCTTGGTCTATACTCGTTCTCTTGATGCGATGTCATGCAAAAACTTCCAACGAGATGCATCATCTTACTTCTACTTCCCCCCCACATGTCTGTTTGTGCGTGTAACTGACCATTTGCGGTAATGGCCTCCATGAAGAGCAAACCCTAAACCCAACTACGAAGAGCTGACTTTACCTCAAGTTGCATGTATCTATCAGCTTTGCTTTGAACTGCCTTGGCCGCCATCGACGAAAAGAGTCTTCGACGCCCCCCGCTTAATATGTCTTCCGTAGTATTTGCCTGGTAATTCAGCCTCTGCCGTCGCGAGACGTTCATAAGTCCGCGCTTCACACAAGAAATAGCACAAGACATGATTCGGACGATTTTCCTGCCACTGCGAAAGCTCGTGATACGCCAGGGCCTGCCAGAAGATTCCCGAATGCCTATTTACAGCCTATGATGTATATATTTGAGGAAAGTGGTACAAATCTGCTCATCTAATGCCAGTTATAGCTTCAGAAGCTGCCACTTGCATGTGGGAGAAGGCAACGGGAACAATTGCGCGAAAAAAGCCGCAGCCAGCCCCCGCCCACCAGCCGCGGTAGACCCGCCTGCCAGGGCTGTGTGCTCCGTCTGTCTCGGGCCAGCCTTTGTGGCATAAGCAAGACCATTGCTATGTGACAGAAGACTAGAATTTATACATGATAAGTGCAAAGCGTTTGTTCACGTGTCCAGAGGCTGCTGGGCTTGCTGGATTGAAGGCGGGGCCGAAGAACTATCCGTACTTATCATCACGCTTCTCTAACTCTGTGAAATCCCCGGTCTAAACAGTAACATTGGCAGCGTTTTTCGATTTGTAGCATTAAATCACTTCAAGAGGGCCTCACAGGCTCCTTCATATAGATTTCAGACCATGGTAAGTTTGCTGATAGCTCTCGTGTGGGCGCATGCAGTGTACTGGTAGTATCAGCTCCCTTTGTCTGCTCGTTGCGTCGCAATTTAGGACCACACACTTCGATTAGTCCTGCAAGGTTGATGCTCTTCGTCCTAATACGGAATAAGAATGGTCTTCATAGATCTTCAAGCCCGTATGCTGTCTTAATCCGTCCATCCTTTGCCCAAAACCTTCCACTTCTCATCTAATTCTTCCCATCTTCGCTCCTCTTCTCATCTTTGTCCTTCAGTCGATGTCCAAAAGCAGCAAGATGTTGAACTACATCAATTACCGGATGAGAGTGACTATTCAGGACAATCGTACACTCGTGGGCACCTTCATGGCTTTCGACAGGCACATGAATCTGGTGTTAGGTGACTGCGAAGAGTATCGGAAAGTAAAAAACAAGAAAGGAAGTGGAGGAAGCGGCCCTACCGCGATTGTGGAGGAAAAGGAGGAAAAGCGCATGCTGGGGCTTGTCCTCCTTCGCGGAGAGAATGTGGTGTCCCTGACGGTGGAAGGTCCGCCGCCCCCCGATGAAGAGGCGAAAGCCACGCCGGGGGGCCCGGGCATGGGCCGGGCGGCAGGCAGGGGCATCGCCGTGGGAGCCCCAGTGATGGGAGCACCTGTAGGGCTGGCGGGGCCTGTCCGTGGAGTGGGAGGCCCCGCGCAATCGCTGATGACTCCTGCGGCAGGTGCGTGGATGGGGTTTGGGGGTTCCTCCTGGTAGGGTAGAAGAGGGCCGGGAGCTTGAGCCACGGGGCTCGGGGAGGGTCGCACTCGCAAGATGCAACCGCTGGTTCTGTACGTGTTCTAAGTCTGAGGTGGAATCTCTGTATCGATGTGGTATCAAGTGGCCGAGGAAGAAGAGATGCTCGAGAGAGGGTATGGGTCCTTACAGAGGCCTCTCTGAGCAGGGCGAGACTTTCGATGGCGCGTCCGGTGCTCGGCTTCCAAAAGCTTGAGCACCGTCCATGGAGGCCCTATCAGTTCTACTCGCCCAGAGCAATGCGTTGCCTACGCTCGTCTTCACGCGCGGACTCATTGATCGTGTTCGATTGCGTTAATCTGAACGGGCCACAGGTTGGGCCGGCTCTGGTCTGCAGGCATTGTGTTTTGGACTGCCTTTGTTCCCTGATATTAGAACGGTCTCGGCTCCAGCACCCATTCTTATTTTCTTAGCTTACGTCGCTCCTCCCCTTCCCTCTTTTCCTTCCCAACCGCCCACCCAGTCGGCGCCCCTCAGGGCTTCCCTCCCCGTGGCCTCCCCCCTCCGGCTCCCGGCATGGGTTTTCCTCCTCGCGGCGCCCCCGGTATGGGTATGGCCGCACCGCCGGGCTATCCCCCGGCAGGCGGGCCAGGCGGGTTGCCTCCCGGCCCTCCGATGCCGCCGCCGGGCCCGCCGCCAGGCATGCCCCCACGGGCCTTACCGCCGCGCTGAGGGGCCTCTCCCCGAGGGCGGGAGGGCGGATGGAAGGGGCGACAGGAAGGGGGGGAGGGCTAGATGGGGAAGCAGACTTGATTGTGAGAAGTATTGTCTCGGAAGGCACGGCGGAGGAAAGAGAAGGACGGGCTCTCGCGGCGTACGCGAGTGCGAAAACTATTAACGAAGGAAGCAGAGTGAGTGAGTTTCATGGCCTCGTACTTCACATAAGGCTTTGTTTCGTGAGTGTGAGGTTGTTTCGCGATGATTCTCTCCCTCCCAAGCTGCCTGGAAAGCCCTCATTCAGTCCCTTGGCCCAGGGAGCCTGAAGAGGCTCCGAAGCACCCGCTGCCCCTCCTTCAGTACCACATTCCTACGCCGCGCCTCCCCCCACGCCCTAACACTCTCCACCTCCCACCCCCATTTGCCCTCCCCCTCCACCCACCCAAATGCCTCCGCCTCTGAGTCCACACAGTGCCTCTCCGCATCAGCGGCCCACTCCTCCCGCGTCCGGTACTCCCTGCTGGTCTTGAACACCACCACGCCCACGGCCGTCCCTGCGTGCAAGCCGTGCGCCGCCAGCCCTCCGGAGGGGGACTCGAGCAGAAGGATGGGCTGGCCCCGGAGAGGAGGTGGCAAGTCGTAGCTCCGAGTCTCGACGGCCTTGCGGCCGTCCAGGAGGCGCCCCGACCAGGGGGCCTGCACTTCAAGTGCGTGAGCAATCTCCTTCCCGTTATGTTTCCATCCTGCATCCTCCCCCTCGTCGTCAATCTCTTCTTGAGCTTCCCCTCCTTCTTCTTCTTTCTCTTTTTTTGCTCCTCCATGTTCTTCCCCCCGTACCTTCTCCTTCCCCTCCTCCTTCTCCTCCTCCTCCTCCTCCTCCTCCTCCTCCTCCTCCTCCTCCTCCTCCTCCTCCTCCTCCTCCATTTCATTGTCCTCCAAGAAAAGCATTCCCCAAGAGTCGTCCTCCTCGTCCTCCTGGCCATTTATTTCCCGCCGATGCAGTGATTTGATCTCTCCCAGCGACAACACAGGCACCAACCCCTCTCCTTCTGGCAAAGCCACACCACATTCGACAGCACTCAGGCGCAGAAACTCGCTGAATTGTCTCAGAAGGACCATCTGCGAGCTCCCAAGCAGATTCCAAAGCGCCACCCTCTCCTGCTGTAGCAAACCCTGCAGTAATGCCTGGAGATGGTCGCGCACGCACCGGACCTCAGGCGGTGGGTGAGCCTGTGCCAGCCGTAGATACTCCCAGGCGCAGGAGAAGGCTTCTTCTGGGTCCGCAAGCGTGCCACTCGCCGACAAGGCAGACTCGTGGCCTGGGACGGCTGGAGCGGTGGCATCAGCGGCAGGGGATGCCGCCGGCCTCGCAGCGCCCGACGCCCCGAACAGGCGCGGGTTGCGCAGCAAGCCTATGGCGCTCATGAACCCGTCACACCCCGTGTACTCCATGGCCCTGTCCGCGTCCTCCCGCGTGCGGCAGTTCCCGTTGGCGACGACGGGGACAGGAACCGCCTCGCGCACGGCCCGGATCACGTCCAGGTCGCTCAGGGACTGGTGGTCGCGCTCGCGGGGGCTGCGCCCGTGCACCGTCAGCATCGACGCCCCGGCCCCCGCTAGTCGCCTCGCCAATCGCGTGGTCGTGTCCACGTCATACATGTGCCGCAGCTTGCAAGAGACCGGCACCCCCAGCTCTTGCGAAATCAGCCTGACCATGATCGCGGCCGTCTCCGGCTCCCTCTCCGCAAGGTAAGCCCCATAATTCCCGGCTTTGGCGCATTGTTGCGGGCATCCTAGGTTTATGTCCACGCCTGCAATTTGACCCCCATCCCACAGCCGTTGCGCCGCCGCCAGCATCTCTAGTGGGTCTGACCCCGCAAGCTGCGCGATAACGGGCGTGTCATCAGCACACGGCCGCAGTAGCTCGAGCACGTATGGGTCCATCTGGTCTTCATTGCGCTTCAAAAGGACGTTGCGAGCCAATAGCATTGGAGAAAAGGTGAGAGTGACGCCGTAACGTTGCACAAGCAAACGAAACGCCCGCTCGGATTGTAGTACCATTGGAGCCAGCACGAATACTGGCTGCGTCTCGTCGAAGCCCTCCCGTAGGAAACTGAAGCGACGCGGCGGCGAGGGTAAGGGCCATTCAGGTGAGCAGAGGCGTGTTATGATGAGGTCGCGATATACCTGGAATGCTTCGCTGCTCGAGAGACCATCTGCAGACCCTGCATCACTTTGAAGTCGTCTCCACCCACGTCTCCATTTCGATCTGGCCCTGAATGCCACCATCCCATCTGTGCTCAAATTCCGAAGAGGTCTGAATGTGTAAGTGACAATATTAATGATGACTCTGCTGTATGGAACGAATAAAAAGCTTGAAAATTGTGCGTGAACACCGTCCTTACATCAATTTGAGAGCCTCGGGAAGGAGGAGGTTGAGCGAGAAATTGGACTGCCACTCGATCGTCCAGAGAAATAAGGAAGAGGATCGTGCCTAAACATATACAGTCATCTTCTACTTTTTATTGTAACGATTTTACATTTTTGTCATGGAAAAGAGGAGTAAGAGATCCCTCCACTGAGCCGCCATAGGCCGGGAGGTTGGTCAAAGGGCCTGCAAGGCTGCTCGCGCGTTGAGCTTTTTTGCCACTGTCCGCGTTCCGCTACATAGCACGGAGTGTTGTGTACATGCCATGTATACCTTTGCACAATTACATAGCGTTGAGCTCATACATCATGGAAATGCTTGCCGTGATGGATGACCGGCGCCCTTTTTGTTGCTTCCGGAAGAAGGGGCGGGGCGCCTTGCCCTCTCGCTTGCTGCTTGCTATATGAGACGCTGCGCATTCCTGCTCCTGCTTTCTCGTCACAACGGAAGCAAACCATGGCAGACTCCATACAGATCACCACGAACAGTTCAATTAACTTTCTTCCACGTTCTCCTCCTTGATGCGGACAGGGCAAACCAACTCGAGGGGCTAGGGCGGAACTTTACGTAGCCCAGACCATCGCCCGAAAGTTGCGTTCGCCACTTTTCCCTCCTTCCTCCTAGTCGGTGAATGAAACCGGAGGAGACTTTGCCATCGCATTAGAGAAAGGTTATTTGCAGAGTTGTTAATAGAAAATGACATACCGCGTTGTGGCGACAGCTAGCGATAGCGTAGTTTCGACATGGGAGCTAACGCGCGAGGCTTTGCTGGAGAACGGGCAAATCATCCACAAAGCGACGAAGCAGCCTGGCACGACCACCGGCACGGTGCACTCCATGGCTTGGAACCACACTCAGCAGGTGCTGGCCTGTGGTACAGAGGAAGGTGCGATAACCCTTATGCTCGAGTCGGGAAAGACGTTGGAGGTGCTGAAAGAGGCGGACGTGGGCGCGCGGGTTCCCCCCATGCCCATTACTTCCTTGGCCTGGGGTGGACGATCCCGGTACCTCTTGACGACGGGACAGGCACATAGCCCACACCTATGGGACCTGAAAAGGAAGGAGCGTGTGATGGCGTTCGGCGGCCACGAGGCTCATGTGACGGCCGTCGCCTTCGCCCCGGACAGCGAGCGAGTCGCCTCAGGCAACCACCATGGAGAGGTCTTGTTGCACACCCTGGTCGCCCAGCAGCCCGTTAAAGTCCTTCCTCTTGAGCTCAGCGACTCGAAAGGCGGGAGCCGAGAGCCGCGCACGCCCTCCGCCTGCATCGCCGCCGCAGTGCGCTCCCTTGCCTTCTGGAGCGCGCGGGCCCCGACACTGTTGGCGGGGCACCGGGATGGCGTCGCGCGCGTTTGGGACGCGGGGACGGGGGCCTGCCTGACATCCCTGCAGGGGCAGCACCAGGCGGCGATTAGCGCTGTCATGGGCTCCCCTGTGAGCGACAAGCTCCTGGCGACTGCGGGCCAGGACCGGCGCCTGGTGCTGCACGACATCCTCCGGGGCCGCCCGCTGCGCGAGGTCAAGGTACGTCCTCGCGACGGGCAGTTGCACGCCCGGCTTTCTGTCTCACGCTTGCTTCTCGTCCTCCTTCCCCCCTTTTTCCCGCCACCCAGGCCGTCGCCCCCCTGACCGCCATGGCCTTCGGCCCGGAGGGTGACATGGTCCTGGTCGGCCTCACCAACGGCGACTGCTCCGTCTACGACTTACGGAAACCGGAGCTCCCCGTCCGCACCGTCCACGCCTTCCCTGGCACCCCTGTGCGCGCCCTGGCGGTCCAGCAACAGGCCCGGCGCCGGACCGAAGCGACCTCCCCGCTCAAGACGAGACCCTTGCCGCAGAGCGCCTCCCCTGGGGCCTTCCCCTCCTCGGAAGCGAGCAGGACAACGGTTCATGTGCCCTCGCGCAAGGCGACTCAAGAGGGGCTTGACCCCACCCTGCCGATGGGACCCGCCGGCGACTCCGCCGCCGTCTCGCTCTCAAGCGCTGCCTCCACCTCGTCCTCCTCCCCCGCCCTCAGACACAAGGGCAACGGGTCGGGCCCCGCACCGACACGCCCCCTAGCCCCGCCCAGTCCCCCCTCCCATCCTCCTGTCGCCCCCTCTTCCTCGCCATCTACTCGTCCCGCTCTTCCTCCCTTGGCTGCCCCGGGCGGCTCGGGCGCGCAGGACTCCTCAGGATCGCTTTCCTCGCTCCCTTTGCCTGCGGCGTATTCAGACGTGGACCGTCCCACACCAAGTTCAGGTCCCTCTCTGGTCGCTCAACATTGCCGGGACTCAGGGCCGACCGCCGCGCCCCCTGGGGGTGGCCAGAGCAAGAAGTCGTCGCAGGACGACGGCATTCCAACCCTCGCGCCCGCCCTCTGCGACCCCTCCCCGCCCGCCGCCAGCGCTGTGGACGGGCCCAGTCGGGAGGGCATCAGCACACGTCAGGGCCTCCTGTGGCGGAATAAGCCCTGGCCCTCGGCGTCTTCCTCCCCATCCTCTGTCGGCGGGTCCACGCCCCTGCGACCGGCTACCCTCCCCGCGGACGCGACGGTCGCTGCAGCTGCATCCGGGGAAAGTCTCAGCAGGGAGTCCAGCCCCGAGGCTCGACTCCTTGAGAGCAAGGTGCAGGGCATGGTGGACGATCTGCGGGAAGACTTGGCCCGGGACCTTCGCGGCCTCCACTTGGAAATGATGCGCACGTCCGAGGGGAGCCAGGCGGCGATGCAGCGACTGGTCTCGGCCATGGAGGCCCTGGTCGAGGAGAACCGAGGGCTACGGAGGGAGGTGCAAGAGCTGCAGCAGCAGATGGAGATCCCTTTATAAGAGAGGACATGTGTAGATTGAAAGAAATGATTACTGTTGGCGGAGAGATAAATGGGAAGATAGCGGCCATGGAAAGTAGAAGGAAAGACGTAAAGACCGCTTCCCTACATTTTCACGAATTTAAATGCAATTTACATAACATTTTCTTTCTATGCCCTGTCTATGCGTCTGCAACAAATTTAATTCCGTCCCCCTCCTCGGATGATCCTTTAAACAAGGCTGCCTTCCCCTGGCGCTCCAGAATCTCCAATGCCCGCCGAAATATTGTGGGTTCCGTTCCATGGAAATCGGCGCCAACCGTGATTTCGTCCCCGGCACGCAGCTCATACACGGTATATACATTGCCGGCCATGCCATTGTCGCGGATGAAGGTCAGGATGGAGGCAGCGACCTCCTGAGCGGAGCGCCAGAGAACGAGTGCCGTGGTCCTAGAATCGTCCTTCCACTCTGCATGGCCGCTACTAACCAGGCTTTGGACTACTTCACGTCGCCCATCCAATGGTAAGGTGCGGTTGATGGCGGGATTGGCAAAAAGCGGCCACTCGTTCAACTTCAAAATCTGGACACCCTTTGCCTGGTGCCATTTTAGTACCAGTTCACGCCACAGCTTTAGCTGCATTTTCCGAGTCTCCAGGACAGGTTGCAGCGTAAAGAAAGGCGGAAAGCCATGATACTCAGGCAACACCTCTTCTGGCGGCACTGGTGATACTACCATCGTGGATGTGCGAAGAGCTTTGTCCGCGGGACGAGCACGTACAACAAGTCAAAGCGCGGCCAGGCGGGCCCTCCTCCGGGCGACTGGACCACTCCGCAGGATACGACTCACTCGCACTGCTCGTCGATGTAACACGAAGCTGCTGCGAATAAGGAAGGCCAAAGGTGTATGTCGCCGCTGTATGTCGGAAACCCCGTCAGTTCCCTGACATGTGAGTCGATCAGTGGCCTCGTATCGCCTGTCCCTCTCGCCCTCGCCGGGGACGCCGGGGGGAGCCTCCGGAAGTGCCAGACGGACCATAGTCACCCTCTACTTTCCCGTTCCAGAGCCTGCTGTGCTGCCTACTTTGAGGCATGGTGCGTCCTCATGTTCTGATATACTGGCGTGACCAATTTGGCTGGCCAAGACGACCCCTCAAATTAGTCATGTCGTTGATTGAATGAGGAAATTAGTGACCCGAAGAGGTATTTTGCTATTAAGCTCAGGCTGGCGCATGAATTGATGTTTGTCTTTTTGCGTCATGCTTCTTATATTTCGAACATACACACACAGCACTGCAATAATGCCGCTCAAAAAATCGGCTTTGCAACTTGCCCGGGAGGAGGGAAGCCGCGCAGTTGAGCAGCGGACAGAGGCCCGGGTGGCTGCGTTGCCTATCTCTCAAAAGCGTAAAAGCACAAGTCCTTCTCGAACCAAGGTCGCCACGCGCCGAAGATTGTCCTCTCCTGTGGCAAGGTCACGGTCCCACAAGATTGATGAGGCAAACGACATGGTGGAGGCAGGCAGTGGTGTGGACGCGCGCCTGAAGGTGAGAGAGCAGAGTTCGCGAGACCGGACATCGCTAAAGAGGGGTAGTCCAGGACCAGCTGTGGGAGCCTCAGACGATCAAGATGGTGACCACTGGTCTTTGCGGTTGCGAGAGGATGGCGACTCGTCGGGGCAGAGTTCGCGCCCTTCAGGGGCCAAGAAGCAGCGGCACGAACAAGAGCACGAGCCCCTTGACGCGCCTTCTCCTCCGCCGAGCGTAAGCCTCAGGCGACGCGAGAGGCGGTACAAATCTGGCAAGAATGATAGTGACCGCGAGCCCGCGTGGGAGGATTTTGTTGATGACCGGTTTTACAACGAACCATCAGTGTCACGGGCGAGCGCAGGCTCGGGGATCGACCTGGACGACCGCTTCAACCTGCCCAACCCCTCGCCTCTCGTGCCCAGCCCTGCCAAGGCCGAGAATACCCCATCCCAACGCTTCTCATGGGATGCTGGGACCGCGTGCCCTTCCCTCCCGTGGCGAGCGGAGGCCTGGCGGCGGCCCCAGTCGGGGACTAAGCGCGTGGCCTTCAAGGACGAGGTAGACTCCGAGGAGGGGACTCACCAGGCCCTGTCTCCTGGCAACTCACCGCCCTCGTCGCCGACGGGAAAAAGGGCAGGGCGGGGCAGGGAACCGGACGCGCTGACCGAGGGTCGCGCGTCCCTGGGAGGCAGCCCCTCCCGCGGCATCCTCAAGCAGGGTCCGAGGTCGAGAGGGGCGAGCGGCCAGAGCCGGCCGTCGGGTCGCATGAGCTTTCTATCCTTGTGGCGATGGCGGGAGCGTGGGCGTGGTTTCTCCGCCCATCGGATCTCGGATCCCAAGCAGGAGCGCCCAGGGCGACACAGTGTGGAGGGGAGTTCTCTGACCTCGGTCTGGGCGCGACTGCTGAGCGTGGGGGAGAGCCTCCTCGCCGGCGCGCGTGGCCTCGCGATCCTTCTGTTGGCGGTGACGCTTCTCGTGTTTTGGGCGGCGAGCCTGCTGGCCGTGGTGCGTGTCGGCTTTCGAATCTGGTCGCGCTCGGAGTGCCCCCCAGGCCAGGTCCGCGCAGGCTTGTTCGGGCTCTGGGGCGACTGTGTGGTTTCGCAAGCCACGGTCAAGAAACTGGTGGCAGCGGTGCGGATAAGGACGGCGAAGGACCTGTGCGAAGACCCGTGGGGTGCCACGTTTGCGGCCACTGGCGCTGGGAAAGGAGGGCCTGGCAAAGGCCCCTCTCTCCAATCGCCGCCTCGGTACCGGACTCAGGACGTGTGGGGCTCCCTGGGCCTGCACGCGTATCCCTGGGCGGACCTGGCGGTCTGGGGCGTGGAGAGGGAGTGGGCGGGGCGGGACCTGCAGGAGGACGTGCGCGTGCACTTGCGAGGCCGACGGGAGGTTCTGCGCGCGCTTTGGCGGCAAGGAGCCCTTTTGTGTCGGGGTAGATACTTCTTGGCGGAAAATTGGCAACTCCTTCTCGCCTCCTCACTCCTCTCCTTACTGCTGGCGTGGGCCTACGTGAGCGGCCGGTCTCGTCTCGTCCGCAGGAAACAGGTGGAGCGAATCAAGCGCGTGATCGTGGATCTTCTCATCGCCGAGGGGGAGCTCCCGCCCGAGCACGCGCGCCTGGAGCTTTTGGACAACTTGAATGGGGAGTTTAGGCACCTGGAGACCAGCCGCTCGACTGTCAAGACCCTGTGGCCTGCCGTGGTTCGTGCTGTGGAGAAAGACTCGCGGGTGACAAAGGCGCCGCGAGAGCGCCACGGCCGGGCCATCCCACATTGGGTGTGGCTGGGCAAACGGCTGTCGAGGCGTATGCGACACGGGGCGATGGGGGCTGCCGGTCTTGGCGTGACTGGACAGGTGCC